TGGTATAGTCAATGAGAAGGCCCTGGGTTCAGTCCCCAGTGCCAAAAAGAAAGAAAGATTGTTCTCATAATACAGATATGCTACTTGCCTTTTCCACTATCATTCTCTCATGATTGTGCAGTGGGATGTTTGAAAAGCTGCGTGGTATAATTTTTGTTTTCACTTCTAGTATTCTCAGTACTGTATTGGGCTGGGTATCGTGGTGCATGCCTGTAATCCCTGCACTCAGGAGGCTGAGGCAGGAGGATTACTGAGAGTTTGAGGCCAGCCTGGGCTACAAAGTGAGATCAAGGCCAGCCTGAACTGTATAGCAAAACCCTCTCTCAAAAAGATAAAAACAAAAACAAAAATAAACATATTGCATTGGTAGATATAACTCACACAAGCAGAAGTTCCTTCAGGGTTATCAGGAATCTGAAAAAAATTATTATTTTTTAAAGGCAGAAAATATTTATTGGGGGAAAGGAAGCTTCTGTCTAAGAGAAACAGAAGGGGTGCCAAGTGGGTTGCCCCTGCCAAGTATTTATTTACTTATTTTTATGGTACTAGGGATTGAAGCCTGAGCACTCTACCCCTGAGCTACATTCCCATCTTGTTTTATTTTGGAACTTTCTATCCTCCTTCCTTGGCCTTCCTTGGGATTATAGGTGTACGTATGCCACCACATCCAGCTTCAGAAGTTTTTTATACTCTTAAAAATTATCGAAATACAGCCAGGCATAACGGTGTACACATATCTTAAAAATGAAAAATAAAAAATATTTAAAAGTAAGGATGTAGCCCAGTACAAAGGTTCTGAGTTGAATCCCCAGTACCAGAAAAAAGTCTAGGTGGAGGACTTGAAAGTTTCGTTAATGGGTTCATTCGTTTTCTTTTAGGTTTGTTTTGGGTCGCATAGATTCCGGGGAGGATCAATGTATTCTTTTGTAGTTAATTGTAAAAGCGGCCTCTGTGGGTATACATATTTCTGGTTTTTTTTGTTTTTTGTTTTTTGTTTTAGGATCAAGAAGTGCAGAAATTACTATGAAATTCTAGGAGTTGCCCGAAATGCCAGTGATGAAGAACTTAAGAAAGCTTATAGAAAACTGGCCCTGAAATTTCACCCTGACAAGAACTGTGCTCCTGGAGCAACAGATGCTTTCAAAGGTCTGATTCTGAATTGATGTTAATTCTGCCCTTGAGATGGTTGATGACAGCAAATTTGCTTATAAGGCCATACACATGGCTTTATCCTTGTCGTGCTTTTTGTTTTGTTTTGTTTTGGTTTTCAAGACAGGGTCTCTATATGATTGACGCTGGCCTTGGCCTCCCAAGTGCTGGGATGACAGGTGTGCACTACCGTGCCTGGCCGTAATGCCCTTATTATTAACATGTTCATAGGAAAAGTATAGATAAAGAACATAAATACGGTTATAGAGCACACCTTTTCCACTGATTTCCATGATATGTTCAGAATGCATATATTTTTGTGGTACTAGGAATTGAACCCAGGATCTCATCCATGCTAAGCAAGTGTTTTACCATTAAGCTACATCTCTCTCAGTCCATTTATTTATTTATTTATTGAGAGAGGGTCTCACTGTATAGTGTAGTTGGCCTTGAACTCACAGCAGTCCTCTTGCCTCAGCCTCTCAAGCACTGGGATTAGAGGGGTGTGCTGGAGGCCTTGCACGTGCTAGGCAAATGCTCTACCAGTGAGCCACATCTCCAACCCTGAAGACTACGTCTCTGATGGATGAATGTGCTGGCCAGATAGAGGGCATTTCCCCAACACGTCTGAGAATTACAGTGATTCGCTACCTGTACTGAGGAGGGGCATTGGGGGTGTCCCAGGACAGCTGAATCAAGAACTTGATTACAAGTTCATTCTCACTTCAGGAGTATTTTGAGTTTGTCTGATTCCAGTGTTGTTTCTTGCTTATCAGGCTTGATCATGGGCAGTCTCAAGGGCAAACACTTTGGGGGCTTTGCAGGCCCAAGCATCTCCCTAGGCCCCTGTGATGTTGTCCAGCATCAGTTGGCTCCCGGCCTCCTTTGCTGCTGTGACGTTCAGCCGCAGCGAAGCTCTGCTCACCTCCCTGTTTTGGTTGCAGCGATAGGAAATGCCTTTGCAGTCCTGAGCAATCCTGACAAGAGACTCCGCTATGACGAATATGGAGATGAGCAGGTGACTGTCACTGCGCCTCGAGCCAGACCTTATAATTATTACAGAGATTTTGAAGCCGACATCACACCAGAAGAGCTATTTAATGTCTTCTTTGGAGGACATTTTCCTACAGGTTAGTATCCCAAAAGTATGATCCTTTATTTGTTTGTTTGAGACAGGATCTCACTAAGTATTCCAGACTGGCCTTGAACTCACTATGTAGCAAAGACTGGCCTCAAACTTGAGGTGATCCTCCTGCCTCAGCCTCCCTAATGCTGGGTTTTTTTGTGTGTGTCTTTTTGATATAGGGTCTCGCTATGCAGTTCAGGCTGGCCTTGAACTCACTTTGTAGCCCAGGCTGGTCTTGAACTCACAAAGATCCTCCTGCCTCAGCCTCCTGAGTGTTGGGATTACAGGAGTCCGCCACCACGCCTGGCCAATGCTGGGATTATAGGCATGTACCATCATGGCTGGTTCAGAATTATGATTCTTAAAAATATTTATTTATGGTTCTCCACAAGCTCTAGCTTCAAGATCTGATTAGAGGGACAGTGGTTTGGTGGAAACAGCAAGAATTCAGAATCAGTTGAACAGGAGTTTGAGGCAATTCTCTAACCTCTGGCTGTGTTTTTGACCAGATCATTTAGTGTCTCTCACCTAGTTCTTTTTTTTTTTTTTTTTTGGTTTTTCTCCGGTACCGGGAACCGAACTCACAACCTTGCGCTTGCCAGGCAGGCGCTTTGCCTGGCTAAATCCCCAGCCCCCTCTCACCTAGTTCTTCATCTGGAAAATGGTGCTTATAATATTTACTTCTCAATTACTATGAAGAGTAGATATTTCAGAGTGCTTTACAAATCATTACCAAAATCCCTATTATTATGAATATCCCTGGGAAATAGAAGTTATAAAGATAAGTTAGAAGTTGGCAAAAAAAAAAAAAAAAAAAAACAAAGAAAAAAAAGCTGCTGTGGTGGCTCATACCTGTAGTCCTAGTACTCAGGAGGCTGAGGCAGGAGGATTGCAGTGAATTCAGTGCCAACCTGGGCTACATAGTGAGTTTAGGCCCAGCCTGGAATACTTAGTGAGATTCTATATAGTGAGACCCTGTCTCAAAAACAAAACAAAACAAAACAAAACAAAAAGACAAAAGAAGTTGGGCACAGTGGCACATGCTTATAATTCTAGCTACTTGAAAGGCTGAGGCAGGAAGATCACAAGTTTGAAGCCAACCTGGGCAGTTTAGCAAGATGTTGTCTCAAAATAAAAGATAAAAAGAGCTGGGGATGTGGCTCCATGGTAAGGTGTCTCTGGGTTCAATACCCAGTACTGAAAAAAAAAAGGTTAGAAAAATATCCCCAGAAGGTCAGAACTGTGTGGTGCTGCGGGTTATACCCAGAGCCTCACACATGCTAGGCAAGCACTCCACCGCTGAGCCCCAGCCCCAGCCCTGTAAAATGGATCTTACAAGTTACTACTGAAGATACCAATGACAGTCTGATTGGGGCACAGAAACAGACATGAGCACACCAGGTATGACCCAGGGCCCAGACACTCTTCTGGTCTTTCAGAGTTCCCTCAGCAGTCACAGAGGACTGTTTATGGGCTGTCAGAAGAGCTAAGCACGTTTCCTGCCCAGCTGGCTCCCTGGGCTCACTGCCGCCTTATTCTCCTGCTGGGTAATATAGGCCAATACCCTATCCACAGAGAACCTCGCTGGGAGCTGGGACCTTGAAAAATGCAGAGAGGACCGTTTGCCATATGCCCTGCGAAGTGTTTTTCTTTCTGTTCTAGGAAATATTCACATGTTCTCAAACGTGCCTGATGACATTCAGTATTACCGCCGGCGGCACCGACACGAGAGGACACAGACTCGGAAGGAGGAGGAGGAAGATAAAGCTCAGGTGCCGGGGGGAGGGCAGCTGTGCTGAGCTATGAGGCTTGGTCAGTTCTAGAAACTCACCTTGTGCTGCTGCCGAAATGTGCTTCAGGGGAGCAGAGGCCATGGTGAGAGGAGCTGGGGAACTGGCCCTTATGAGCCAGAATCCACTCCCACCTCTACCTGCCGCTGGTTCTTTTGTTTCTCTCTAGATCTCAGTTTCCCTGTAGGGCTGTCTTGATCTAAGTTTTCTTAAATACAGAAAATGAGAGCCTCCTTCTGAAGATTCAGAGCTCACATGGCTGGAGCTAAGGGCTGGAGGGAGCCTCATGGAGCTCGAGAGAGAAGCACCGCTGGGCCTCCTGACGACAGGAACTGGGACCTGGGTGCCATGAGGCTCCCAGGCAGCGGTGCTTGCTGTGCGCCGGCCCACGCTGTCTCCGGCTTTTGCACTACGCTCAGCCGCCCTGTTGTTCTGAGCAGTCTGGCATAGTGTACTTGTCCTTGCAGACAGCACAGTGTCTGACAGTCTGCGTGAAGGACGACAAGCCTCACCCCAACCCCAAGGAGGGGGATGCTGACTGTCCCTGCTAGAGTTAGCTGGCCCCGTCTAGTCAGCTAGTCCTCCAAGGCAGGAGGTCACATGACACTGACCTGGGTCACAGAGCCCCAGCCCTGTGGGAATCAGGTCTAGGCTGATTGATCTCAAGGTGTTCGCTCTCAGTCCTGGAGAAGGGGCGCAGGATGACTGGGTGTCAGGCGGGGCTGTGGGCCGCCTCCTTCAGCGGAGCGAGTGAGAGTTCCTAGAGAAGCCCTGGACTTGGCGGACCCTCCTTACAGTGCATTAGAAATTTGTGTTTCTTTGTACTTGTATTTTTAATAAGCTTTACATTGATGAAGAATGATTACACCAACTTTTTTCCTTTCTAGACTACATATTCTGCATTTATTCAGTTACTTCCGGTTCTTGTGATCGTCATCATATCTGTTGTTACTCAACTGCTGGCTGCTAATCCTCCATATAGCCTGTTCTATAAATCGTAAGTCAAATATTTATAAGTCTATCTTAATAACAGTATAGAACATGAGAGATGTGGAGGTTCTGCCGATATGTTACTAACATTTTGTTTCACTTTTCACTGTGGAAAACACTGATTTTATGTTTAAAGGAACAGCTAAGTGGTAATAGTGCAAACTGGGAACCCCTACAGGCAGTCTCTGGAGGTCCTTAGATGGATTGTTTTGTTTTACAGTGACATCATCTGGTCAGTTGCAGAACAGCAGCAGGTAGTTCTGAAGGAACATGAGGTTCAGAGTAAATCCTTATCTCACCATGGTAGAGTTAGAAAGGACCCTACTGAGCCTGTGATAGGATTACTGAATTTCTGTGGGTCTGGGAGGATAATAACTGGGACCCAGTAATTATTTTTAATTTTAAAAAATTGTAAGAAGGAGCCGGGTGTGGTCACACACACTTGTAATCCCAGCACTCAGGAGGCTGAGGCAGGAGGATCGTTGTGAATTTGAGACCAGCCTGGGCTACAAAGTGAGCTCAAGTCCAGCCTGAACTGCATAGCAAGACACTGTCTCAAAAAACAGACCAAAAAAAATTGTACGAAGGAGCCAGATATAGTGGCACATATCTGTAATTGCAATTGGTAAGCTAAGGCAGGAGGACTGGCATGAGTTCGAGGTCAGCCTGGGGTATAGTGAAAGATTCTGTCTCAAAAAGCCAAAAAAAGAAATGTATACTCTTAGGCTCCACTGCACATTGATTGAAACAGAAACCTTGGGAGTCTGGACCAGAAAATCTGAGTTTTAACAAGCCCTCAATATCATTATGGCCCACACTAAAGTTTGAGAATCGCTGGATTTATTTTTTTCTTATTACTCATTAGTTTGATTTAGTGGACAAAAACCTTAAAAGAAGAATCTGGGCTGGTGCTGTAGCTGTACAATTAAGCAGGCACCCAGCATGTGTGAGGCCCTGGGTTCGACCCCCAGCAGTGCAAAAACGGGTGGAATTTATGGGTCACTACACGGCAGGAAGTATCTGTGTTGTGATCACTGTAAACTGAAAACTCTTGTTCTCGGCCAGCGTCTTCCTCTCCCGAGAGCAAAGCTGCGCTCCAGTCCACAGCTCAGAGAGAGATTACTGCAGTCGGGTACAGCGGCCCAACTCCTTCGCTCTCCCAGCTTCTCATCCTTTTCCATACAGAACCTTGATCTCTTTTCTTGTTAGGCCAGCGAGGAACTAGGGCTGCTCTACGAACCCCTTCCCAGAGGGAAGTGCAAGCAATCTTGTCCTGTGTGCCTAGGTGTTTGGCAGTGTCCTTAAATACATCAAAGGAGAAGGCTGGGGATGGGCACATTTAGCTCCATTAAGATGGAATTTGTCCAGCTTGGGCTTGGTACATTGGTGTCATATCGTTTTAACTTGAATTTGAGCTTACCTTAATTCATTTTGTTTTGTTTTGTTTTGTTTTGTTTTTGAGACAGGGTCTCACTGTGCAGTTCAGGCTGGCCTTAAAGTCACTATGTAACCCAGGCTGGCCTTAAAAGCAATCCTCCTGCCTCAGCCTCCTGAATGCTGGGATTATAGATGTGTACTACCTTTTTTCTTTTGGTATCAGGAATCAAACTCATGACCTCGCACTTGCCAGGCAGGCACTGTGCCGCTGAACTAAATCCCCATCTTTAATTCTTCAGTATGGTTCTGAGCACCAGATACCGTTGGATGTCTTGAACCCACAGAGTATTAGGCATCTTTTGCCATTCTCACGTACCAGCTATGTGTGATGTACTTTTTATCATGTCCTAAGAATTGGTTCTAGGTTGGAGCAAGCTGTCTGGTGTTTTCTAAATAGTTTGCTGTAGGCCGGGTGTGGTGGCGCATGCCTGTAATCCCAGCACTCAGGAGGCTGAGGCAGGAGGATCATTGTGAGTTCAAGACCAGCCTGGGTTACAAAGTGAGCTCAAGGCCAGCCTGAACTGCATAGTGAGGCCTTGTCTCAAAAAGACAAGATAAGACAAGACAAGACAAGACAAGACAAGAAAAGAAAAGAAAAGAAAACTAAATAGTTTGCTGTAATGTTACTTGGTTTATGCAGCCAGCATTTACCAATAGCCTACTCTCTCAGATGCGATGCCAGGTCCTCCACAATACACTAATCTTTGTTGTTGTTGTTGTTGTCTTTTTGGAACAGGGTCTCGCTATGCAGTTCAGGCTGGCTTTGAGCTCACTTTGTAGCCCGGGCTGGTCTTGAAGTCACTATGATCCTCCTGCCTCAGCCTCCCGAGTGCTGGCATTATAGGCATGTGCCACCACGCCTGACAGCTAATCATTTTTTAAAGCACCTAGCATTCTACTTTTTGCAGAAAAGAAAACAGTGTAAGAGTGTAACTCTTTGAAGAGAATAAACATATGCTGAAGCTGAATTCACAGCATGAACTTGCTCAAATAATATTGAAATGATGACTTTTACTACTTTGCTATAGGGAATAAGAAGGGCATAAATGTTGGGTATAAAATGGTGTCTATGAGCTAGGCATAGTGGCACACACCTGTAATCCTGGCACTCAGGAGGCTGAGGCAGGAGGGTCACCATGAGTTTAAGGCCAGCCTGAACTACTTAGGGAGACCCTGTCACAAAAAAAAAAAAAAAAAAAAAAAAAAAATTGGTGTGTATACTTGAACTGGAGGGCACATACCTGTAATCTCAGCATTCTGGGAGCCTGAGACAGGAGGACAAGAAATTGAAGCCTGGCTTGGACACTTTAGGGACATAGCACGACCCTATCTCAAAATAAAAAGTTTTTAAAAGGGCTACAAGCCAGTCATGGTGGCACATGCCTATAAATCCAGCACTTGGGAGGCTGAGGCAGGAGAATTGCTTCAAGTTCAAGGCCCACCTGGACTATACAGTGAGACCCTGTCTCACAAGGAGGTAGGGGTGCAGTTGTAACTCAGTGTGATGGCCTTGGGGTCCTTAATATCACACGAAGAGAAGAGAAGAGGGGAGGTGGGGGAGGAGAGGGGAAGGGAGGGCAGGGGAGGAAAAAGTATCTGGGCTGGTCATGGTGATGCATGTCTAGTCCTAGCACTTGGGAGGCTGAGCCAGGAGGGTCACCAAAGTTTGAGGCTAGCCTGGACTACCTAGTGTGCTTAAGGCCAGTCTGAACTACTAGGGAGACCCTGCCTCAAAAAACCAAAGGGAAAAAAAAGTATGTGCATCTGCTCTGTGATGAGGTGATGGTGATCATGATATCTGTGAAACTAGGGCTAAGAACAGTACTGCCAAATACGCCAACCTCATCTGCACCTCTGTCTGTCTTTGGTTTAGGACGTTGGGCTACACCATTTCTAGAGAGACCCAGAACCTGCAGGTGCCTTACTTTGTGGATAAAAACTTCGACAAGGCCTACAGAGGAGCTTCTCTGCGTGACCTAGAAAAGATAATAGAGAAGGATTACATCGATTACATCCAGACGAGTTGTTGGAAGGAGAAACAGCAGAGTAAGAAGCTTTTGCTGGGGGCTCTGATCCACCATGAGTCCTCCCCAGCTTCCCAATGCCTCCTCTCTTCTGGTTTGGGTTGTGTGTGTTTATGTGAGTAGAGACAGAGGACAGAGGCCCATTCAGGCTACCACCAAAAAAAGAAAAGGAGTGAGAGAAGCCAGGCAGGGTGGCCTATGCTTGTAACCACGGCTACTTGGGAGGCTAAGGCAGGAGGATCACAAGTTCTTGGTCAGCCTGAGCAACTTAGCAAGACCCTGTCTCAGAATAAGTGGAGCACCGTAGGGTTCAATACCCAGGCACACATACACACACCAAGGGGTGAGGGAGTTTATTTTGTGCGTGTGGTAGGAGGGTACCGGGAATCAACTCAGGACCTTGTGCTTACCAGGCAGGCCCTTGTTCCCCTGAGCTCTATCCCCAGCAAGGGGAGTTCGTTGGTAGAGTACATGTGGCCAAGACTGGGGAATCTTAGGAACTTAGGTAGTGCTTGTTGATCTCTCTGTGGGTCTCTGCCTCTCTGTGCCACTGGCCTCCCCCATCAGTGTCCTTCCTCGCTCTGTGCTTGCTGTGGTCACCGTGGTGCCATCTTCCTAGTTGCTCTCCCAGCTTCCCCAACACCAGTCATCGGTCCCTTTCTGTATCACAAGCTTGCTCCCGCCGTGCTCAGCGCTGGCTGCTTTGATCCTCACCTTCCAGTTCCCCATTCCCTAGAGGGCAGTCTGAGCCAGGCAGCCTGGCATTTGGAGCCAAACCAGGAGTGTATTGGTTGCTGGTGTTGAGTCAGGTGTCCCCTACCCCTGCCTATGCTGGCTATGGACACGCGGGACAAAAGTGGCTCCCTTCCTCTGTCCCTCAAGGGGTCCCTGTGGAGTCAGCGGCCACACCAGGGTCTGCCACTTGGCTTGCAGCCCCAGTCGGTATTGGGAAGTGCTGGCCCTGCCTTCCAGCCAGCAGCCTCGCTTTTGACCGCACTTGAATCTCACACACACACACACGCACCTGTGGTAACTGCATCTTATAAAACTTTGGATTTGGTTGATTTCTTTTTTCTTTTTCAAAGCAAACTCTGTCTCATCTTTTAAACTTTATTACTGACTATTATTAAATATCTAACAATGTCTGATAAAATTAGCCCTTTGGATTCTATCTCCAGAAACAAACAAAATTTAGCTGTCTGGTCACAGTGCCGCTAAGGCCGGGCTGGCCCAGCACCTACTCCTAACCCCATGCCCCAGGTTGATCTCCTTCCTTTTTTCATCATGAGACTGAGTCTCACTGAGTCACTAGGTTGTCCCGGCCGAGCTTGGACTTGTCGTCCTTTTGCCTCAGGTGCCCAGATCCCTGGGTGATAGGCGTGCACTGCCACCCCTGGCTCCCAGCCCTATTTTAGTTTTATTTTGAGTCAGAGTGTCACAGAGTTGACCTTGAACTAGCAATGCTTCTGCCTCAGTCTTCCCAGTAGTCGGGGTTCTAGGCATGCAGCACCAGCTCCCGGTGCGCTTTGTTCTTCCCGCTGGCCATGTCGTGCTAATTTTATGTGCCAGGCTGCTGGCACAGCCGTGCTTCAGAACAGGTGCTCAGCAAATGTCTTTAGAGAAGAGACGACTCTCAGGACCAGAAAGCAAGAACACTGAGGATTATGGGTCACAGAGCAGGGACAGTGTCCTACCTTAGACCCTTGGAGGCCTTGTCTCTGCCTTCTTTCTGTAAGCCAAAGTCCACCTGCCTTCATTACATTAGGAGGCTGGGGACAATAACTTCGGCACGTAAGGGCAGTTAAGTAGGTGAAGGAAATTGCTTTTTCATTTAAAAAAACAGAGGCATCAAGAAGTACTATACCCAACTGGTTAAACTATATTTTATACGTTTTAAAAAACAGCAAAAGGGGCTGGGGATTTAGCTCAGCGGCAAAGCGCCTGCCTGACAAGTGCAAGGTCGTGAGTTCGGTTCCCGGTACCGGAGAAAAACCAAAAAAAAAAAAAAAAAAAAAAAAAAAAAAAAAAAAACAGCAAAGAGTTGGGTGTAGTGGCACAAGCCTGTAATCCCAGCACTTGGGAGGCTGAGGTGGGAGGATCACCATGAGTTTGAGGACAGCCTAGGCTACATAGTGAGTTTAGGGCCAGTCTGAATTATAGAGCAAGACCCCGCCTCAAAAAACAAAAAAACAACAACAAAAAAAGCATTTGGGAGCAAGATAAATGCCGCAGGCATATATATCTGGATCCAGCTGGATGAAAGCTGACGTATATGTCCTAAACATTCCCCTTGCTCTGGGCACTAGAAGAGTTTTGAATTTATTGCTTTCTGCTAGAACTGGAGGAAAATCTACATTCACATCTTCAAACACACGCACACATTCCTCTGGCATGCGCATGTCACAAAGCTAGAGCTATGCTGAGCTCATGGTGAGGACTGCACCAAAGGCGGCCTCTGGCGCTCCCACCCACACGAGGCCGGTTTCGGAGTCTTGGCGCTGTGCAGGTACAAGCGGGAACCCAGGCAGTGGGCAGAACTCTTGTGCTCCAGGTTCTGCGCGTGGTTATCGGCACAAACCCCTCAAAAGCTTTCTGGCATTCCAGCACAATGGCTGTGCGGGGCCCACGCTGCCCAAGTGCCATTTGAGAACAGGCAGCACCTGCCCTCCGCAGCCCGGCAAGTGCAGCCAACAAGGGTAAATTTAGCACTTGGAGGTTGTAAAAATAAACCCACTTGAGAGCAGAGTTCACTCCTGGCAAAACCCAGGGTGGTGACTGTGAATCGGAGTTAGCAGTTGTCTGTGTTAATCTTCAGTTTGCTTGTTTTCTCCTTAGAATGCCTGCTCTGGGCGAATTTGTGTGAGTAACCCCTCACTAAGAACACTGACTGCCCTGGGCCTCCTTCACGGGGTCTGTGTAACAAACCCGAGGAGGGTGGGGAGGACCTGGGCTGGGCAGGACAAAAGCAACAGTCAGAAAACTGCCCTCCAGCCTAGTACAGCCCAGGCCTGTCTGGCTGAGGAGCATTATTTATTTATTTATTTTTGGTCTTTTTGAGACAGGCTCTTGCTATGCAGTTCAGGCTGGTCTTGAACTTGCTTTGTAGCCCAGGCTGGCCTCAAACTCCCATCAGTCCTGCCTTAGCCTCCTGAGCGCTGGGATTGCAGACGTGCACCACCATGCCTGGCCAAGAGCATTCTTTCCAGGCCCTTGAGCAGGGTTGCAGCATAGGGAGTTTAGGCTCCCATAGGGAGGTAGAATGAACTTCCTTCTGGCGGCTCTCGGAGGTGGTGTGGGTATGACAGCACGGTGCCGGCACAGATCAAGCACCGATGCCTGGTGGCATCCGGGCTTTTCATGGCCTTGCACTGCAGACGGGAGACAGCAGTCTCCAGGGCTAGATCATGGAGCGGGCATGTGTTGGGCTTCCCACCAGTCAGCCTTTAGTGGGCTCCTGTGCAGCTTGTCCCTGGGAGTAGCTCCAGGACTCTGCCCTTGGCACGTTGCCAGTTGGTTTACCTTTGAGGCGCAGTGTTCTGTCCATCTGTCATGCTGGTGTGCAGGACAAAGGGAACATTTTGTTAAGAATAAAAAGTGTTCTCTTGATCCTGTCTCTCCACAGATTTTTTTCCCCAGCTACTTAGAAGTTACTGAATAGTAACAGAACGTGTCAAAAGTAACGTTCTTCCCCTTCACTGTGCTCATTGAAGGGTGAAAGGGTTCTCTGGCAGTTTGAAAAGAGGTTTTTTTTTTTTTCCCCAGTACTGGGATCGAACTCACAACCTCGTGCTTGCTAGGCAGGCACTGTGCCGCTGAGCTAAATCCCCAGCCCCTGGAAAGAGGTTTTGTAAGCCTGGTAGTGGGGTTGTGGGATGTAATTCCTTGAAACACTGTCCTTGGGCAGGGTCATTTCTTTGGTTTTGTTTTGCTTTTTTTGAGACAGGGTCTCACTATGTAGTTCAGAGTAACCTTGAACTCTATGTAGCCCAGGCTGGCCTTCAACTCACAGAGATCCTCCTACCTCAGCCTCCCAAGTGCTGGGGTGACAGGCGTGCAAAGCCACACCCAGCAGTGGGCCCTGACCTAGTTTCATTAACTATGAAAAGCAATGTGATATAATGCTTTAAGAAAAGCATTTGTACATGTGCAGATGTCTTTCATCAGCTTTTTTTCTTTCCTCAGCTTTTTTGGTTTGGTTTGGTTTGGTTTTTTGAGACAGGGTCTTGCTATGAAGTTTACGTTGGCCTTGAACTACTATGTAGTCCAGGCTGGCTTCTAACTCCCAGCAATCCTTCTGCCTCAGCCTCCTGAGTGCTTTGGATTACAAGTGTGCACCACCACACCCTGCTCTTTTGTTTTGTTTTGGTTTGATTTTTTTTGGTACTAGGAATCAATCTCAGGACCTTGCACTTGTCAGGCAGGCACTTATGCCACTGAGCTATATCCCAGGCCCCTGTTTTGTTTTTTGAAGTTGAGTCTTACTATGCAGTTCAGGTTGGCCTTGAAATCATGGTGATCCTCCTGCCTCAGTTTCCTGAGTGCTTGGATTACAGGTGTCCTCTACCATGCCTGGCTTACCAGGTTTTACAGTAGTCTTCAGAGTAGAAAATATTAAGAATCAGTAGCCTTTAATGTTTTCTGGACTGTGATGTCAAGGAATGAGTTATCTAGAAAAAGCTGGTAAACGAACCTAAGGGATTTGAATGAAAAGGAAGGCCGCGCAGTCCATTCTATGTCCTAGTGGACCTGGGCACTAAAGACCCAGGGAAGTAGACTGATTTCACCGAGACCTAAATAGGTTCCCCATGTGGCAAGAAGCCCAAGAGATGGAGACAGCACTGAGCCCTGGGCAGGACAGGAGCAGGGAGTTTTCCCTGGAGTGCAGCGCACGACCCTCCATGAAGGTGACTGCCCAGGCAGCTGAGGCCGGCAGCACCCGTGCGCCCGCCGGGAGGCACACTGTCCGCAGCCAGGAGCCCCACAGCCTGCCAAGCCACGCCTGGCAGGGGAGGGCTTTCCCCCACGCCCGCCCCTCACCCGGAGTCCTGCACCTAGCTGCACTTTGGGCTTCATAGAATGATTGTGAACAGAAATGCCAGGCAGTATGTTATGGGGGCAGAAACTCACTCAGAAAGCAGTGCCCATTGTTGCTCCTGGCTAAATATTAATTCCTGTTTCCAGGCAATTTGCTGATTAATCAGACAGGCGCCTTTGTTCCACCAAGAAAAACAAAATCCGTCAGAAAAGTGATTAAGAATGGGTAGGCATGCTTCAAAATGATTAAAATAGCACTTGCACAAGATCTGTCCCTTACACCCTGAGAGCTTCCTGCCGCAGCTCTTGGGAGCCACAGGGCCCATTCTGCATGCAGCTTATCTCCGGAGGTGCTTTTGAGGCATTTCTCTCTCCAAATGTCTGAAACCTCACAGAAGAATAAAAAATCAAGGCAGTCAAACCACTGTGGAGTCAGGAAACACAGCAGAGATTTTAGTCCAGCTAAAAATAGAATAACCTTCTCTACCCTGAAAAGAAAATGAAATTCATTTAGTCAAGGAGACAAAGGTCACCAGATCCAGATGATTTCACTTTTAAAAGAGCCCAGCTGCATTTTGCCTCTAAGCTGGGGACCCCACATGTGGTGAGGGAGGGAAGGAAGCTGCCAGCAGCCCGGCCCTCTGCAGATGCCTGCCCGCAAGAGGTCAAGCCCCGCGTGGGGCGCGAGTTAGGATCAGCCAGGCTGGGGAAGGGACGAAACAGCTGTCTTTGCTTCACAGGACAGCAATAGGTACTGGCTTCAGTCTGGCCACCTGCCATCCAAATGCCATGGACAGGAAGGCCCCACAGTCTCCTCTTACTGCACACGTGCACATTTCCGAAGCTGGGTGCCGAATGTTTTACTGATAAGAGCTAAGTCTAGGGCTTTTACGATATAGCACAGATGCTGTAGGATGACAGGCTCACAGGTGTCCTCTAATCCTCAGCACCTGGTGCAGTGCTTAATACAAATAAATAAATAAATTTAATGGAAAGAGAAAGCATTTAAAAAGCCAAGCATGGTGGCATACCCCTGTAATTCCCACACTCAGGAGACTGAGGCAGGAAGTTCCACAAGTTCCAGGCCAGCTTGGGCTACATAATGAGACCCTATCTCAAAAAAAAAAAAAAGAAAAGAAAAGTATTTAAGGAAAGGCACTTTGATCCCAGAGATATTGAAATGAAATGGGAGCTCAGCTCTTTTGATGAACTGGTTATCTGTTTTACCTTGCAGAGTCAGAGCTGACAAACCTAGCAGGATTGTACCGAGATGAACGATTGAAACAGAAAGCAGAATCGCTGAAACTGGAAAACTGTGAAAAACTTTCCAAACTAATTGGGCTGCGCAGAAGTGGCTGAGATGGTGACGTGTACACTCAGGGTTGGGGTTTTGTTACTTATTATTATTTATGTTCCTAATTCCATTTTATAATACAAAATTAGGACCTGATGAACATTTCCCTGTTTGCTAATGTTTGTTGGGCGGTGTTGCAGGAAATTGAGCCCGGAGCCACACAGTCACCAGAGCCAGCTTTCTGAGTCAGGGGGCCCTCCGAGTTACACAAATGGCAGAGTGTTTCTCCCCGCCCCTGCTCTGTGCTTGCCTGGCCTGTGTGAGTGCAGTTTAGGGCAGCAGCGCCATCCGAATCTGCTTTTTTCCTGTGACTTGTCTGGTTACAGAGAAGCTGTCCGTTTTCAGCCAAGTATAAGCCCAGCAGGTGTAAGCCCACAGAGTAAGCCCACAAGTATAAGCCCAGCACTCAGGAGGCTGAGGCAGGAAGAATTTGAGGCCAGCCTGGGATGCTACATAGAAAATTTTAGGCCAGCCCAGACTATATATCGAGACTCTGTCCCCTGCCAAAAAAAATCTGTTTTGGATTTAGAAAGGATGGATTTTCTTCCTTCTTCCCTTCTTCAGTGAAGCCTCAATGTCCAGGCATTCCTGGGCTTGTCCAAAGCAGCTTCCTGTTATTTCCGACATCTGCCAGGAACTAGACTGCTCTCTCTTTGGGACTGTCAGCACCCCAGGACTCCGCCTTTGGGTCTTGCTCCTGCTCAGCTTTGATTTCCTAAGGGGAAGGTGGAGAAACTAAAGCTGTTCAGCCCGCAGTTTTCTCCCCTCCCAGTCTCTGTTCAGTCAGGGAACATTAGCAAACTGCCTGAGTTGAGGGTCTTTTATTTTCTTAATCCTCTGGCAAAGGGTCCAGAAAAAAATTGAAGATTGAAACAGTTCAGCAGACAGCTCAGCAGCAGATGGGGGGCCGGGGGAGAAGCTAAGCTGTAAGCCGCTATTCCCACTCCTCCGTGCAGACCCCCGTCCACCATAGGTGGCAGAGCATGTCCTTTGTGTGACTTCGTCTTGCTGTCGTCCCTTGGAATCATCACACTCAAGCTGAGACCCCACAGCCCACAGAGGGACCGCGGCCAGAACTGAGACGCAGCCTCGTCAGCAGCCAGGCTGGGGCTCAAGCCTGGGGGTGGAGGGGGCTGTCCTGTCTAGTGACGCTCCCTGCCATCATTTTGTGTAACCTGGGGCCCTAGAGCCTGTGGTATGAGACTTCTTGTCATTCGCCGCTCACGGAGAGCCTACCATAAAGCGTGCGTCTTGTTACTTCAGCCTCCTCACAGCCCTGTGGAGGAGGTGCTTTGTTTTTATGAATGAGAATATTGGCCTAGAGAGGGCTGCTGCTCTGGGTCATACAGGAGCCAGATGGTGGGCAGTTGTCAGGTAGAAGGTGTGAGAGGTCACCTTTAATTTTCAAGGGATCCTAGTCAGATGGCAAAGAAGAATCCCCCAGACGCCTCTGTGCCCACCACCCCAGAGCAGCCCTGCATCTTTCTACAAATGCCCTGCAGCCATTTGGGACAGTCTTCCCGCTGGCCTTTAGGAAGCAGAACCCTCCCAGTGCAAGTCCTGTACACAAAATAGGAAGTCCTCAGGCAGGCATGCCTTCCTGCTGTGACAGGAACTGTGGTGTCACATAGGCTACGTGGTACTGGGCCTTCCTGTGGAGGTGAGCAACCCGGACTGGGCTGCCAGATTACCCCAGAAATGTCCAGTGTGGTTCAACGTATGTGTGTGCTAGAGGCGGGAAATGGGTTATAGGTAAAGAATGGGACTTTTAGTGGCTGGGAGGGCACAAGTGCTCAGCTACAGAGAGCCAGAGCAGTTCTAGAAACAGCCAATTTTGCTGCCCAGTTGCCCAGGCTGGCCTCAGACTCATGATCCTCCTGCCTCAGCCTCCACACGAGCTGGGATTATAGGTGTGTGCTACCACTCCCAATTTTCCTGGTTTTTTGACCTCCTTGACCTCTCAGTGATAGAGAATTTACACTATAAAATGTGCTTATGGAAAGTTCCTATACACACAAAAATCAAAGCTCTCCTCACCCTCAGCCCCTGCTAGCAAATGGGCCATAATGAAACCAGCCTGACAGGTTAAAGGACCTGCTCTAGATGCCCACAAATAGCATAGGCATATTTTATGGACTTCATAGTGGTGATGAGTTACCTGTGATGACGCTAACTAGAGGTGGTACTAACTTCATTAAATGTCATGCTGATGGCTGTTTTTATAGCATTGACAGTATGTTTTGTTTATTACTAATAGGCCACACATTTATGTCTGGTTTTTCTCAAACTGTCGTTTGGCTGAAGGATAGTTTAAGCTACTGTGTTTGGTACTCTGCAGAAACTTGTAATCTTTGATTTCCTTGGTCATGTTTTCAATGGGTTGTCTGTACAGTGGTAAAATAGGCTGCTTCCCTCTTGCCTGCGTCCCTCGTCCCTCGGAAGACTCCCTGATAGCACAGACACTCCTGAGCTGTCAGAACCGGTGCAGCTGCTCTGTTTCCCTCATGTCCCTGCAGACCCCAGCTGTGTGCTGCAAGAGGGCTGGGGCACGGGGCGTGGGGCCCGTGTGGAACCCCGAGCTCTGGCTCCAGGGATCAGCAGCGAGGAGGGACGGGGCCCTTCTCACCGTAACAGTGCCTCTCACTGGAAGGAACCCATGTCCCTGGGGTCATCTGCTCACAACAGAAAATGAACTTCCTTGATCAGCCCCAGGCCTCAAAGCTTGGCAGCAGCGGCCAGTAAGCGAAGGACATTGCTGTGCTTACTGGTGGAAACGACTAGAAATTACAGCGATGCCAAGCCCCACCAGAACGTGAGCACAGCAGCCTGGCCAAGTGGCACGCTCTTACTTCCCTCCTGGCACCGTGAGGGGCGCTGTCACAGCCGGCCACGCATCCCGTCCATCGTCTGTGCATGCAGCTCCTCCAGGAGCTGGCTTCACCTGTGTTTACTTTAGACTCACTGAAGGTGTTGCCTTAGTGTCCTAATGCATTTATTTTTGGAAAGGGTAAGTTACTACACATCTTATTATTTGAACCTGCATCGCTGACACCTCATGCAGTGGCCACCAACTACCTACCCGTGTGTTAGCTATGGATGGTGTCATTTGCACCCCTCTCAGTATTCTCAATTAAAGGTGTGACTGTCCTGTGACCAGAGTCAGGGATGACACAGATGAAATCAGCTCCTGGTGGAGTAAAAATCCCAAAAACCCTGGTCACCTGATCCATTGCATCTAGATTGAGTGTATTTTAACAAAGAAAAACATTAAATGATTTTCTATAAGGAGAGCGGCTTCCTGTTTTTTCTTTGTTCTTTGGCCTTTGCCTGGACACCTTGGGCACTATACATGCTTGAGCCCCTCAGAGCCACTCAGTGCCAGAGAAACTGTGGACCTCTGTCCCAGTCTTCTCTCCTCTAATAGTGGGGTTGTTCGTGTTTAGAACAGTAGACAGCATTGACGGTGTCATAAACTCCATATTTTCTATCGGATGACAGCAACTGCAGAATATCAGAGTCATCTACGGGTGATGTCAGTCTACACTCACCATCAGACAGAGCAGGTGTAGAGCCAGGCATGGTGGCACACACCTATAATCCTAGCACTCGAGAGGCTGAGGCGGGAGAATCAATGCAAGTTCAAGGCCAACCTGAGCTAAATGTGAGACCCTGTCTCAAAAAAAAAAAGAACAATCAGGTGTAATCTGAGTTTCTTGCTGGCTTTGCTCACAGTGGTTCACATATTTAGGGAAATCAATTTTAAAATATAGTTGTGCCAGGCTAGCAGTACCCACCTATAATCCCAACATAGAGGGAGGCAGGATCACAAGTTCAAGTCCCACCTGGACAGTCTGTTGAGACCTTCACAATAAAAAAATGAGGCCTGGAGATGTAGCTCAGTGGGACGGCGCCTATGGGTTTGATCCCCAGTACTGGGAAAATCAGTTTATGACATTTGCTTGAGCTCATCTGGCCACAATATCTTAGAGGGATAAAAGGTGTGAGATTCAATTCAGGAAAATGCAAGAACTTGCCATGTGCCAGGCAGGGTGAGTTTCTCAGATAAGTGTCAGGAACAAGTGAGACCCAGGCCCAAGGCTTGGCTGTTGGAACAAACATCTAGTGAGAAAACCAGGCTTTAGGTTCAGCTTCCCCAGTGGGATGATGTCACAGGGGAACAAAGGATCAGGAAGAGACCTGACATGGACTCGCCTTCCCTATGGAGATGAGCTAACACTTTTTAGATGGAGGAGCATGAAAGCTGCACACCACACTTCCTTTCCACAAACAGCGTTACCAGCTGGCACTCACCATACCTAATCTTCATGCCCGTTCGTGGCCCCTTTCTAGTCTGGGGTGGCCTTTCATCCCCTTCAACCAATAGAAAGTGGCCAAACTAGCAGCCTCCGTTTTTGCACTTGGGGGAAAACCTACCACCACTTCAATCCGGCTCCCCTGAGACCTCGTGGAAAAGCTGCACAGGAGAGTACCAGGCAGCCAAGCTGGCCGATGGGAGGAGCAGATAATCTCCGACTGGAGAACCTGGACCGCATAAAACAGACTGGTGTCTTAGCCATTACATTTTGTGATTGTAACCCTGGACAACCAAATATTCCGATGGCCTTTTCCCCATGTCTCCTTGTTATGGTTTGCATCTGCATGTCCCCCCAAATCCTCATGCAGTCATGGGGCAGGCTTCTAGATTCATGATTGAGCCATGATCCAATGCTGGAGTTATGTGTGTGAGTGGTACACCTGCCCTGGGGTGGGCAGCTTGCATACATTGCAAGGGAAAGAGGCTGCTTGCCATTGCTCTCCCTTTTGCTCTTGTTATTTTTGCTGTCTTCTGCCGCCATGAACTGTTGCCCTCTGCCATTTACCACCCTGCCTTGGAGCCAGCCTAGTATGGACTGAAACCTCCACCAACTGTGAGCTAAATAAACCTTTCCTTCCCTAATTCTGGGTGTCAGGTATTTTGTCTCAGCAGCGAGAGAAAAGGAACCAAGACAGCCCTCCATGCTTACCTCTAACACATCCCAAACCTATCGCTTCTCCTCTGATGCTGCCTGGCTGCCACCGCTGTGCACTCTTGTTGCCATAGCCTTGTGTCTCTGCTTGCGCACAGGGCCCCCTCCGATCTACACACCTCCCTGCAACCAGGTGCTTTGTTTTGGTTTGGTTTTGCAGTGCTGTGAATTGATTGTAGGCCTACTGAGCTACATCTCTAGATTGATTGATTGAGTTTGTTTGAGACAGGGTCTCACTATATAACCCCGGCTGGCCTCAAACTTTTGGCAATCCTCCGGCTTCAGCTTCCTGGGCGCTGGGATTACAGGCGTGTGCCACCACATCCAGCCCCCTTTCTATTTCTTGAGACAGGGTCTCATTAAATTGCCTGAGCTGGCTTTTTTTTTTTTGGTACTGGAAATTGAACTCATGACCTCATGCTTGCCAAGCAGGCGCTGTACCGCCCAAGCTGGCTTTGAACTTGCCACCCTCTTGCCTCAGCCTCCTGGGTAATTCCAGTTACAGGCATGCACCACCACATCCAGCTCAGTAGCTTTCTTTTGCCCCCAGAAGAAAAACCAATTCCTCAGTATGGCCTACCATGATTAGCAGTTCTGCTAAGTTCTTGGCCTCTCCTCATTGCCTTATACATCCCTTTTCTTTTCTGAAATATTAACCCCAGGGACTTTGAATGCAGTGTTTCCATCTTCTAGAGCCCTTCCCTACTCTCCTGCCTCTACCCCTTTCCCAAGGGCCTCGCAGTTATCTTCCCAGGTCTCAGCTGGACCTTCGCTTCCTCCCAGAAGCTTCCTCTTAGACAGCGGAGCACTGGCTGGGTAATGCTTCTCCGTGCAAAGGCTTCAATCCCTGTCTCACCAAAAAGGACAAAACAAAAGGGGTTGGGCATGTGTGTCCCCTCTCCTTGAAAGCAGACTGTGACTCTCTGGCTAAAAATACAGCAGCGAGCCAGGGTGTAGCCCCATCACTGGTAATGTGGGTGCACACGCGCATGCACACACACACACACACACACACACCTCTGTACAACAGATAATACATTATGCCAGGCCTGCGACATCGGCATTTTCCATACCCTTTGGATGCTATCTTTGACTCAGCCACTGTGCAATGAGAAAGCCCCAGCAGCCCAGGAGAAGGAAGTGAGAGCCTTGGTCGTCAGCCCTGGCTGTGGGCCCAGCTGACAGCCAGGTGAGTGAACGTCCTGGAAGCAGCAGTTCTAGAACTTCCAACACTGCATGGGGCAGATCTGTCACCATTGAATCCTGCCCTAGTTGTAGGTTCCTGAGCAAAATGAGCTTTTATAATTTGGGGGTTGTTTGTTATGCAGCAATGAAGTGGAGCACCAACTTGATAATAAGCCGTGCAGAGAGGCAGCCTTTGCAGGGCAGGCTCACAGAGCTGTTTGTGATGCCACCCTAAGCCTCCCTGGGCCTGGCTGATCAGAAGCCAGGGTGCTTACTGACCCCTAGAGTTGGACACTGGGCTGGTCCCCCGCCGAGGCGGCCCTCATGCTCCCTCAGGGCTGCAGATGTGAGCTTGGTCCCTCCATAGTGCCGTGCCCAGGGCACTGGCCACCAAGCCTGCTCACCAGGGTTTGCCCCAGAGAGACAAAGGGCAGCCTGTGGCAGGGGGACAGAGGATGGACATGAAGCAGTGCCACATGAGACCTAGGAAGGGAGCACAGTTCATAGGGAAGACGGGTCACTAACCCAGAGGAATGCACGGCTGTCCAAGGGGTGAGGTGAACACTCCTGGGAGACAGTTCTGGAGGGCCAGAGGTACACGACCCACATAGCATCCTCTAGGCCCACGATGTGCAGGGCAGGAGCCACTAAGCACATGTCTTGATTCACATGTAAATGGTTGGGTCAGGGTGTGGCTCAGTGGTAGAGAGCTTGTCTAGCATGCACATGGGTTGTATCTCTGTAAGGGGTTACCTTGAATAAAGAACCAAGACCAGAAGCCAAATTGGAATTTTAAGAGCTTTTATTAGCCGGGCCGGCGGCTGTCAGTCTGTTCTCCACGCAGGGAGATGCTGAGCAGCCCCGAACCGAAGAAAATTTGAGCTTTTAAGTTTGAAAACCACATCCTGATTGGCGCAGGTGAAAAATTTTTTGCAAGGGCGGAAAAGAAAAGCGGAACCTATCAGTTCCAGCAAGCAGGTGTTGCAAAGTTCAGAATGTTCTTAGACATATACATTGTTTTCAAACTAAACTAACAATCAAGCACAGTTTCTCTTTCTAGGGTCAAACTGACATTTTTTTCCTCCACTCAAAAGCCCAGCAGTTTTTTATCTGTTTTATGTGTTCACCAATTATGTGTTCACACCACAATCCCCAGCACCACACATATACATGTGAAGTCTGAGCGGGTGGCACATGCCTGTAATCCCACCACTCTGCAAGGCTGAGGCAACAGGACTGCAAGTTCAGTCACAGACTGGGCAATGCAGTGACACTGTGACATCTTGTCTCAAAAAAATACGGGCTGTCTGGGCGTGGTGGTATAGCCGGGTGTGGTGGTGCATGCCTGTAATCCCAGCACTTGGGAGGCTGAGGCAGGAGGATTGTTGTGAGTTCCAGACCAGCCTGGGCTACAAAGTGAGCTCAAGGCCAGTCTGAGCTGCATAGCGAGTCTCAAAAAGACCAAAAGAAAAAAAGAAAAATACAGGCTGATGACATAGTATGCTCAGTATGGAGGCCATGGGTTCCATTCCCGGTATCAAAGAAAAAAAGTAAAGTTTTTTAAATTTTAAAAACCAATTCCTTTGGAGCCAGGCATAGTGGCACATACCTGTAATGCCTGTAATCCAAGCGCTACGGAGGCTGAGGCAGACAGATAATCACAAGTTCAAGGCCAGCCTGTGCTACACAGTGAGTTCTATGCCAGCCTAAAATACACAGCAAGACTGTGGATAAAAAAAGCAAAACCCAGCAAACAAACAAACAATTCCTTTGGCACATGAGTCACATTTCAAATGCTACATAGCCACATGTGGCTGGCTAGTCGTTCCCTTTGGGACGGTGCAGATATACAACATTTCCAAACTGAAGTTCTATTGAAATGTGCTTTTCTAGGTCCTTTAACAGAAGCCAACAGGCTGGGCAGGTGGAGCTTGCCTATAGTCCCAGCATTCAGGAGGCTGAGGCAGGAGGATCATCCTGAAATTTAGTACAGCCTGGGCTACATAGTGAGACTTTGTCTCAAAACAAACAAATAAAATGTAACAGAAAATGACCCCCAGCCAGTATACTTCAGTTTCTTAGTTGCCCAGGTGATATTTCCTGTTCCAGTTCTGGTTGGTCCTGTCTCTTAGAAATGACTGGTCACTATGATGCACATTGTAAGCCGGGTGTGGTGGCACACGCCTGTAATCCCAGCACTTGGAAGGCTGAGGCAGGAGGGTCATTGCGAGTTTGAGGCCAGCCTGGGCTACAAAGTGAGCTCAAGGCCAGCCTGAACTGTATAGTGAGACCCTGTCTCAAAAAGACAAAAAAACAAACTATGATGCACATTGTATAAACCAATCCCCAACTGATAAGCCATTCTGCCTCTGTACTTCCGGCTTGCTTATCCCATATAAGCCCCAGACCACCAGAGGTCAGGGCCTGACATTTTGGGAATGATCCTGATCAGTGCCTGTTGATGTAAATAAATCTGCTTCCAAAGCCTGGGTGTCATTTCAGTGTTTCTGCTTGCCCTTGCAAAACAAACATATAGTGAGCCAAATAATACTTTCCAAATGGATGAATCACCTTTCTGTTGCTGGGACAAAACACTTTACCTACAGAACTCAAAGGAAGAGGTACTTACTTTGGCTCGCTCAGTGGCAGGCTGCAAAGTGCAGTCCTGCTCAACCTCTCCCAGGCAGGAGCAGCGTGGTGGAAGGACGTGGCAGAGGACCGCTGCTCACTTCACGGCAGCCAGGAAGCAGAGCGCAGGAGAAGAGCCAGACACAGAGAAGGGGCTGGGGACAGAACTCGCCCTTCCAGCATCACTCCCCCGGGACTCTCTTCCTCCAGCCAGGCCCCACCTCCTACCAGCAGGTTTGGCTCTGAACTCCCCATTGCATTAACCCATTGCCAAGGTTAGCAGCCCATGATCTATCTAATCGCTTTCCAAAGCTGCGTGTTAAGTTTTGGGGTGGCATTTTTTTTTTTTTTTTTTTTTTTTTTGAGACAGGGTCTCCCTATATAGTTCAGGCTGGCCTTCAACTCACTATATAGCCTATGGTAGCATCAAACTCAAGACAATCCTCCTGCTTCAGCCTCCCAAGTGCTGGGATTACAGCCATGGGTAGGGTAACATTTTTGATCCAAACAGTAACACCAGAGGAGGTGACAGAGGTGACACTTGAGTTAGGCTGGAGCAGATGGTTAGTGCTTAGATGTTAGGACCAGGGAGAGGGTATCTCACAGTGGCACACCCCTGTAATCCCAGTACTCAGGAGGCTGGGACAGGAGGATCGCCTTGACTTTCAGCCAACCTGGGCTATGTAAGTGAGTTCAAGTTCATAATTCATCCAGCCTGAATTACAGAGCGAAACCTTGTCTCAAAAATATAAAAAAAAAAAAAGCAGGGAAAATAAGCTGGACGTGTAGATGCACCCCTGTAAACTCAGCATTCAGAGGCTGAGGCAGTAGTATTGCTGCAAGTTCGGGGCCAGCCTGGGCTAGATAGAGACTCTGTTTCAAAACACAGTCAAGTAAAAGTTAATTAAATAAAAAGAAAACCCGGTGATGGAAAGGGACCAAGAGATGGGGGAGAGTGGAGGAGGAGAAAAGAAGTGAAAAGAACAAGATGTGTTATGTGTGTACCGATTTCCCCAGTGAACGTGGTCACTGTGTGCTGCAAACCTGTACTAATAAGTTTAATGAAGCGCAACAGTGCCGCGACACTATGTTGTCTGGTTTCAAGGAGGAAAAGAAGCCTTCGGTAGGGATTTGGTGATTGAGTGGTCTCCGTGCTCACTGCCTGCTTTTCAAACGTCTTCTCCGTAAGCCCCACTTCAGACCTTCTGATCTCTTCCCCAGCCTGTCAGGGTCAGGCACAGCTCCACTCGGGCTGTCCAGAACCTGGTGTCACAGCAGAGGACTCCCGGATGTAGCTACTTTCCTTTTCTATCTTGTTGCCTAGGCTTAGGCATCCTAAGTGCTATGCAAGTTCTAGGAGGCCGGAGTCTCTTAGTGTGGGATTAATGTGGAGATCAGGGTAGGAGAGCCCCAGGAAGCTGGATGTAGGCCTGCCTAAACTGGCTCTCACATCAATGTCTTGAAGTTTAACAAGACGGGGAGAAGACTTGTCCCGATGTTGTCTGCTCACTAACAGTAAAAGTAGGAGGGCCCTGCTTGCACCCCAGAATTGCGTGGGGAAACAATAAACGTGCAAATTTCCTGTGAATTTAAATTCCCAGAGGTTGAGGGTTTTTTTTTTTCTTTTTGGCTCCAGGCTACTCCTTTAAGAGGCGGGCCCTATTAGTCCTGACAGAGAAAGTCCCCGCCCCCGTTGCCAAGGTGCTCTGTGGCGTCGCATTCTCATTGGTGGGTGACGGCGGAGGGGCCCGCAGCCGCGGCCATTTCCAACAAGCTGGCGGGGGCAAAAGATGGCGACGCCCGTTGGGTGGTCGCCGGGGGGTTCGGGCTCTGTGTGCCTCGCCTTCGACCAACTGCGGGACGTAATTGAATCTCAGGAGGAACTTATCCACCAGCTGAAGAATGTGGTACGCAGATAGACGAGCTCGGGGAGAGGCCGAACTTGATGTCTGAGCTGGGGTCGAGGCCAGGCCCTGTTGGGTGGAAGGGGCGTGGCTAGAGCGTTGGCGAAGGGGTCGCCGGGAGGAGGCGGGCTCCTGTGAATCCTGGCTGGGAGCTGGGAGCCGAAGCGCTGAGAGCTTCCCGAATATTTATCAGGGAACTTTCACCTAAATCTAGCAACATTTTGCCTGATTGATGCTGGGTTTAGGAGATCGTCATTGCCCTCCAGCTTCTCCATTTTTAGTGGCGATGACGTCACTGATCTACCAAGGCCCTGATGTGCAGGCAGAGATTGGCCTCCCGTGTGCTCTCATGCAGTGCCCTGTTGAGGACAGTAAGCACAGATTGGCCCTTGAGCAGCTGACTTAAGGGCCTTCAGCCAACTGTGTCGTGTTGCTTTTTTCTTCTCAAACCCCAGCTGACAGGTCCAAAGAGTTGGAGCCACAGATGAGCTCGAGCTCCAGTAGTGGTCAGCGGGGTGCCATGGTTTTTCTGTTTTGATTTGTCTGCCTCAATAAGAATGTATCTTCAGGATATATCTTCATCTTAGAACTAGGGTGTGGTGGTGCACGCCCATACTTCCAGCACTTGGGAGGCTGAGGCAGGAGGATCACCATGAGTTTAAGGCCAGCCTGAGCCACACTGTGAGACCCTGTCTCAAAAAAAAAAAAAAAAAAAAAAAAAAAAGGAAAAGAAAAGAAAAGAATATCTTCACATGTGTTTCTTGCTCTGATGACTCACAGACAACTTCTTCCCTTCTGGGAAGTTGTATGTGAGAGGAAGAAGCAAGAGGCGTGCTCTGCTGACTCCCCTAAGACCCTATTTCAACAAAATACGTAGCTCTAGGCTCTAAGTTACCTTCTACTCGCCGGAGGTACCCAGATCTTTCTCTTGGCAGCTTGCGTTGGCATGTGTGTTCACACCGTCTGGTACACAGTTTTCTCTCTGCTTCTCTTCTGGCCCATCCTATTTAGCAGTCAGACCTTAGGACTAAAGTCACCTTCTGTAAAAGCAAGTCTGACCCTTGAGTCAGGGGCCCTTCTGGGTGCCACAGCCTGTGCGGTTTACCATCATTGCATACACAGCATGAAGAGCGGGTTCCAGCTCTCTCCTCCACGGTGCACCTTGAGGGCAGGACTTGGAGCTGGGCCTAAATGAGTCTGTGGAACTGAGTTCGCCCTTTCCAGAGCTTGTCTCATCCTAGGTGCCCTAGGCATTAACCCATTATCCAGCCTTTGTCCTTGTCCCTAGTCTTACACCACCTACCCCAGCTCCAAGCCCTCTTTGAGCCAAGCTCTGTTGCAGATGGTTCTCCAGGATGAAAATTTTGTCAGTAAAGAAGAATTTCAGGCTATGGAAAAGAAGCTGGCGGTAAGTAGTAGCCTCTGCAATCTAATCTTTGCCCATTTCCCAAGATCTCTGTGGTTGGGTAGAGCCATGGAGTTTTGGCCTTTGAGAACCTCTAGTTCCCCAGGGTGAGGCCAGAATCTTCCTGTACTGTGGCTTCTATCTGCCCCCTTACCCCCTGCCGAGAAAGGGCTGGTCACACAGGCCTAGAAGACACAAGGTGGCTTGCAGTAATGAGGTGACTGCTGCTGCCCCTGTAGGAAGAGAAGGCTGCCCATGCCAAGACCAAGCTCCTCCTGGCCAAAGAAGAGGAGAAGTTGCAGTTTGCCCTTGGTGAGGTGGAGGTGCTGTCCAAGCAGCTGGAGAAAGAGAAGTTGGCCTTTGAAAAAGCGTGAGTGGGGCTCAGGAGGGGCAGGGGAGGAAGGGTCCTGTCTGCCTACTGGCCCGCCCACCTTTCATCCTCCCCTCCAGGCTCTCCAATGTCAAGAGCAGAGTCCTGCAGGAGTCTAGCAAGAAGGACCAGCTCATCACCAAGTGCAATGGTAGGCGGGAGCCCCACGCTCCCTTGCACGGTAACATACACGGGCTCCTTCCCAACAGCCCAGTGCCTGTGTCAAAAGCAGGGTTTCACCCCAACTTCTGTCCCCGGTTGAGGATACATGCAGCCGCAGGCGGACAGCACCTTCGAAAAGTTCTTCAGGGACCAGGCAGGCAACGGAAATGAGGGCAGCAGTCGATGAACTCTATTCTTCACGACCATAAAGGAATGGGCGTGCTCCCATTTTTCTTAAAGTGTACCACCTTCTTAGTCCACCTGTTATTTTTCCATTGTAGAAAAAGTGCACTTGACTCATGTTTCTGCTATAAGAGGAACACCAGGGCAAGAAGTCCTGTTGGGGAACTGGCTGTGAGTCTCAGGGTCAGGGACTCCACAGGGAGAAGCAGGTGACACAGAGAGCCAGGCACTCTCTGGGGCGTTTAGTACCTGTGCTGTGGAAATGGGGCCCAGGACTGCCAGATCTTTACAAAAGGAACTAGAAACCAAGGTTTTTGTTTTATTTTGCTTGAGACAGGGTTTCACTATGTGGTTCAGACTCCTTCAACTCACTGTGGAGCTCAGGCTGTCCTTGAACTCGTAGCGATCCTCCTGGCTCAGCCTTCCAAGTGCTGAGATGACAGGCGTGTGCCACTATGCCCAGATGTATTGTGTTGTTTTGTTGGGGTATGAACCCAGGCCTTCGCAGCCCTTTTTTATTTTATTTTGAGGCAGGGTCTCACTAAGTGGCTAAATTGCCCAGGCTGGGCTTAAACTTGCAAAGTTGTGTCAGCCTCCCAGAGTGCTAGCATTTACAGGCATGCACCAGCACACCCAGCTAGAAAACAAGAGTTAATGGAAACTAATCTGACTGTATAGTGTTGGCAACTGATTTAAACATTTTTTATTTAAACATTTTAAAGTATTTGTAGACCAAGTAGGGTATGTCAGGGCCACCCATTTCCAGCACACCTGTGGCAACTTACTGGCTTAGTCTGAGCTGTGAGTTCAGAGTCAGCTAGCCAGTGTCCTGAGGCCTCAGAAATCCCTTTTTTGGGGGTGCGGGGGGTGTATAGGGGAGTTTTGAGACAGGGTCTCACTATGTAATTCGGGCTGGCCTTGAACTCACTATGTAACCCAGGCTGGCTTCGAACTTACAGCAATCCTGTCTCAGCCTCCCAAGTGCTGGGATTACAGGCATGCACCATCATGCCTAGCAGGAACCCCTCTCATTTTGCCAGAATCCTGACCTCCCGTTACCCAGTTTATGTAGCTATGAATTCCACACACAGTTTCTTCTCCGTTCACTGCAGCAGATCTTGAGTAGGCCAGAAAACAGCCCAGGCCCAAAAGAGGGCTGGGATCCCTCCTGGGGGGCCCCCTCATCAAGAGAGGCCTGGTGTCCCTCATCCACCACTCTAGCTATCTGTCCCCTGGTGAGAGTTCTCAGTGGGCAGTGGCCGCAGGGTGCCATCTTGACCCGACCAGGCCCACTGACAGGCTGAAAAGGTTATAAGCAGTAGCTTCTTCCAGGTTCTCCTGGGACTCAACAGGTAGTCACTGCCTCCACACCCAAGGCTGCGGGTCTCCTGTCCTCCTCCTCCCCGGCTTCCCCTAAAGGAACCTGGAGCTCTCTCCTGGGGCAACCAGAGACTTCTTTTCCACAGGCCATTTCCTTCTACAGAGACCTGCCCAGGCCCAGGGCTCTGCATCCACTGTGTCATGGAGTCAGGGCCTGGCTGCCTCCTGCTAGAATGTCCTAAGCTTCTCCAATAGGCCACAAGCCCTCACCTGGGACAGTCTAGTGTTGTGAACCTTCCCCTCACAGGTACCCACCACTGTCCCCTGTGTGGTTTCAGTTTGGTTTCTGTAATTACAATGTTGTTTATTGTTCTCATAGGGAGTTTTGTTCATTGAGACAGGGTCCTGCTATATAGTCCACATTGGCCTCACACTTGCAGTATCCTGCCTCAACCTCCTGAGTGCTACCAATAAGCTACAGGCTCAGCCCCCTTTCCTTTTTCTTTCTGGTTTTTGTTTTGTTTTGTTTTATGACAGAGGGTCACACTAGGTAGTTGAGGGTAGAAATTGCAATCAGCACATACTTCAGGCTGACCTCGAACTTGCGGTGATTCTCCTGCCTCAGCCTCCTGGATGCTGGGATTACAGATGTGAACCACCTAGCCCAACTCCTCTTTTGTTTTTTGAGACAGGATCTCATTAAATTGCCCTGGCAATTTAACTACCATGCCCAGCTCCAAAGGGTTTTTTTTTTTTTTTTTTTTTTTTTAAATCATTGGTTGATTGGACACCACAGGTTTTAAGAGTTATATAAATTTGTAATTCTTTTTCCCTAAACAACTTCACAAAGTAGAGGAAATGTGGCATGCTGGTGCACACCTGTAACCCCAGTGCTGGAGAGGCTGAGGCAAACTTGACCCCAGCTGGGATATAGCTCAGCACCACAATGGTTGCCTGGCAAGGTCCTGAGTTTGATTACTACACATCCTCCCCCAGTAGATAAATAAATAAAAATTTGAGCCCAGCCTGGCAATTTAAGTGACTTAGTGAGACCCTGTCTCAAAACAAATTAATAAAAGAGCAGGGGATATAGCTCAGTGTGAAGGCACTAAGCTCAGTTACCAGCACCAAAAAAGAAAATAAAAAGCCAGGCCAGGCATGGTGACCACACCTGTAATCCCAACACTGAGGAGACTGATGTAGGAGAACAGTGAGCTCAAAGCCAACCTCAGCCACTGAGCAAACTCAAGACCAGTGTGGGTTACATAGCAAGACACAGGCTCAAAGGAACAAACAGAGAAGCCTCAGCTGATGCTGTCATCCTCTCCCCTCTTCCTTCATGCTGGGCTTTGACTCGGTACCAGGTCTTCTGAAACCCTAAATGCATCTGCGTTTCTGTGTTGTTAGAGTTCAAGTCCTAGTTAATCTTCAGCCTTTAAAGGCAGCGGAGTTTCCTTCTGTGAAGCAGAATCTTCCAGGGCTTCCTGAGGAGCGGTTTTATGAATGATGCCCCAATGGACCCCTGCAGCCTCCCTTGACTTTGACCTAAGACACAAAGTCACCCTTTATCTAATGTGTGTCTACTTTGGGCCTGGTCTTTGCTACCAGTGTCTCACTGGGTCCTTCACGCCCCACTGCAGTCTAGGGGTTCTATCCCCATATTACAGATGAGGACACAGGTCTGAAAAGGGAGGCACCTGGCCCAAAGTGGGATGTTTTCTCATCAGTATGAGCTTTATTGAATGCAGCCTTGCCCTGTTCTAACCAGCCCGAGTCTTCTCTTTGTAGTGCTGGGGGCAGAATTCGGCCTTGTGTGTGCTGTGGGTGCTGCACCACTGAGCTTACCCCTGCCTTACCTGGCCCAACCGCTGTCTCTACTCCCAAGTCCTAACTTTCCTTTGTGGAGCCGTCTCCTGAGGGTAGGGCTCCCATCCTCCACCACCCCTGAAGCTCGGGGCTGGGTGACCAGCTGGCCCTCACTTGGACTGAGATTGCTGAACTAGATGTTTCCAAGTTCTAAGCCCCTAGGGAGAGCCTGTTCATTCATTCCACAGATGTATTTAGTGTGCACCCAGTATGTGCCTGGGTTTCGGGCCTTAGGGATAAAGCAGTGAGTAACATGAAAATCCCTGTTCTTGTAGACTTTACACCCTACCTCAGAAGACCAATAACTATGTGGTATGTTAGATATAGACACTAAGGAGAAAAATAGAAATACTTGGAAAGAGTCGGGCATGGTGGTGTACATGTGTAACCACAGCACTAGGGAGGCTGAGGCAGGAGGATTATTGCGAGTTTGAGGCCAGCCTGGGCTACAAAGTGAGTTCAAGACCAGCCTGAACTGCATAGCAAGATCCTGTCTCAAAAAAGACAAAAAAAAAAAAAAAAAAGCTTGGAAAGTAAACAGGGAAAAGTTGATAGGAACTGTTTGGGGGAATTGTAATCTTTAGACTAAGGGAGGTCTCACCATGGAGGTGACATCTATAGGCCTGCAGCTGCCCGCCTCTCTCCACGGACCTGCGCCCGCCCTCACCTGGGTGAGATCCGCATTAGAATTGTAACCACCAGACTCTGCCACCCCCAAGACTCCGTAATAAACGCCTTCATACTGAAGTATCAGCACCTGTTCATGGAGAGCCCTGGACAGGGAGCCCCCGTGAGGGAGGGAGGGAAGGGAGCCTTAGCTCAGGAAGGGGCTGTGTGGGGTGGAAGCCACCCCTCCTCCCTGACTCTCTTCCCCCACAGAAATTGAGTCTCACATTACAAAGCAGGAAGATGTACTTAATGGCAAAGAGAATGAGATTAAGGAGTTACAGCAAGTTATCAGCCAGCAGAAACAGATCTTCAGGTGAGGGGCCTGGGCCAGGCCGGGGGTTGCTGACAGAAGTGGGGAGCCCCACCTGTGGCCCCTATCCTGGGCCGCACACCACCCACTGCCCACGACCAGCCGGCTCCATTGCAGGAATCAGATATCTGACTTCCGGATTCAGAAGCAGCAGGAGAGCTACATGGCCCAGGTGCTGGACCGGAAGCACAAGAAAGTCTCTGGGACGCGGCAGCCCCGCAACCACCAGCGCCTCAGGGAAAAATAAATGGTTGTAGCTTTCCTATTCTTTGGCTATAATGCCCAACCTCTGTCTTCGATGTCTAGGAAGCCCCAGCCCTGCCTTTTCCATCCCTATGGGTTACCTCACCCCCCAGTGACCTCCAGAGAAAGGGCAGGGAAAAAGGCAGCAGCCGTTTCTGCTTGCCTGCCTGCCTGTCTCCAGGTCCTCAGTGACCTGAGTGAGAGTCGGATCACCAGGCACTGAGTGGAGGGGACAGGCCTGGCGGCACCGCCTGCCAGCTACGCCTGGGCCCAGAAAGGGCTGCCACTCCAGCCTGCAGCCCCTGAGCAGCCTTCCCTCCCACGGTGGCTGTAGGCCCTGTGGAATGGGGCAGGGCCTTCCTCGGGTAGTGGGCACTGCCCAGCGCTTGAGGGGTTTTCTGCTGCAGACAGCCCTGGGTACCCTAGCAACATCCACCAGAACCACAGTGCTCCGGTGTGAACCCTGCCAGCTGGGCTGCAGAGCAGGTGTGTGTGTGAGAGCGAGAGCCCTGACTGACCATTCCAAAGACCATCTGGGAGACCAGTCACCACCATCTCATAGCCACGTCCCTCGTGAATCTCATTTGCAGCTTCAGCTCCTTCAAAGCTTGTTTTCCGAAATGAGAGGAAGGGGGAACGACAGTGCTGTGTCTGTGACGTGAGGAAGACATCTGGGAAAGGGCAAGGGTTTGCTCAAGTTGAACAAAAAGAGCTGGATGTGATAGCTACAACCATTTATCACTGACGTGCCCCGGGGGACCACGGGGCCACCTTGGCAGGGGCCAGCGAGGCTGCTGAAGCTGCGTGTGACCTGTGCTTGGTCAGTGTGGGCACAGGAGCCAGTGCTCTGGCTCCAGGGCAGGGGAGGCTGAGTCATTGCAGGACCTTGAAGCCAGAAGTTTAAGGGCAAATGGTGCCCATTGTCATAAGACAATGACAGGTGGTGGCTACTTCCCCGCAGTGCCAGGCTCCAGGGCAGGACTGAAGGTTGCGGGGACAGGAGAGGGCTTTGTAAACCCTGGAGGGGAGCACAGGGCTGTCCTTGCTTCGGGGTGCTTAAAAGGGGGACCACACAAGGCTTTCCCGGCTTGTTTCTGGTGCTCAGGCAGCTTGCGAAGGCTACAGCTGCCCACTTTGGGCCCTTCCACTAGGCCTCACCGGGGCAAAGGCTCTAACCTGGACACCATCCGGGGACCCCAGCCCACTTTTGGGGGGTGACCTCTAGCTCTTCCAAAGGTTTGGGAGATACCGGGGGTCAACAAAGCTCAAGAACTCTACCTGGGGAAAACCATGGGGGGTTCCCCTGGAGTGATGGCAAGTCGTCGGCTGGAACTGGGGCGAGGAAATCGCAGGCAAGACGTAAGGTCCCTGGCCTGAAAATCTGGATTCCTGGCTCAAACCCTGAACCGCACACTGCCACACTGCGACGCTGGGCTTCAGGCGAGGCCCTCACCTGCGCTAGGTGGGGTCGAGCCGCCGCCTTTCGCGCCTGTCAGTCAGAGCCTGGAGTCCCGCCCAGAGTGCGCAGGGGCTCGCTTCCCCGCCCGGGCTCAAGGGACAGGGTCGGCGCGTCTCTCCCGCTGTCAACGCCGCCGGCTAGGGAGGGGACGCGGCCGCTTTAAGGCACTCTGACCCCACGCGTCTCGGGCGGGGCGGGGACAGCAGGCGCCACCGGGAGGCTCCGCGAGGGAGGTAGAGCGTTCGGGTCCGGCCCACCATGCTGACCGCGCTCGGCCCGCCAGCCGCGCCCGGGCTCCCACGGC